GCTAATTGCTTTTCTGCAAAGAGCTGGTCTCTTCCTGTCAAAACAGAGTGAAATATAGTTGCCCTTCTGTCAATAATACAGGTGTTCAGGCCACAACAAATGAACAAAAGAAATATATTAAAGAACTCGGTTCCCAAAGACTGTCACTCAGCAATTCTGTGCAACATGGCAGCTTTCTTGTTCATATTACTTCTGGTGGTATGAAGTTACTGCAGACCCACAAATTGTACTGGAAGATGGGGGAGACTTGGATAGGAAAATACACATACACTGCTACTTACTATGATCTTTTGCATCTTCCTTAGGATTTTCAGTATTTCAATTTCCAGCCAAAATATAGTAAAATATTACATTAATATACGATCACGGTGTTTTTGATTTTTCTAATCACAGTTTCACTTAACTGCTTGGAGTTGCTCTGTACGGTACCTTATAGCACCTAGTGCCAGGTAAAGAGAGATGGGTTCTCCTCATGCCTCCTTTGTTAGCTGTTGGGTCTGAAATTCAGAGTTGGCCTTCAGTTGAAGCTCTCCTTCAATTCAGTTGCAAGTTAGCTTGAATAAGGCATTTGTAGTCATATTCCAAGCTTGCCATAGCCAAGCTATTACAGGAATGTATGTACTCTTATGCTCTTTTGGTTTTTGCTATTTATCCGTCTGTTTGTGCACAGTGCCATGGTTTTCAGTATTTCCAGCATTTTAAGCAGGACAATACTGTTACACAGCTATTTTTTATCCAAGTCTAATGAGTGCTTGTCCACGATTCACACCACTAGGGCACATCTATACCATTGCAATAGTGGGAGGAAAAAGATGAATGGTAAGTCTAACCAACCTTTAGTTGTTTGCATGGCAAAGAAGCAGTAAGCATTACAGCAGGTCAGAAAATTGCAAGTCTACATAGTAGACGTTAAATAATATAATTAAGCTAACTATTTGCATTTGCTTTATGATGAAGAGGGGAATTTCCAGGTGAACTCATCCAGATTGTACTGTAAATCTATCCATCTTTCCTCCTCTAGACAAGAGGGGCGGCCACCCTCACTAAAAGCTGTTTCTTCTGCAAAGACAACAGTGTTACTCTATTGCCGGTCTGTGCACAGATGCCCAATCTTCTTCAGCTGAAAACCAGCATTAATCCACCTTCTCCACTCAGGACAACGCAATAGCTTTATCTCATACACGCACCTAAATTTCAACAACAATTTTCAACAACAAAGCATTTGCATTTTAACCAGTCTGAACAGCTTTCCCAGGTCCTTCCAGATTACTATAGTTTTAGCCCTTCTGTTAAACAGCGGAGATCCAAACAACAGCTTGGGGACCGTGAATGTTGCATTATGTGCTTTCTGGAATGTTTTCTCAGAGCACAAGGGGAAAGAGCCATGTGCCATTAATACTCTTTCAATTCACAACAGGAAAGTTAAAACCTCAACTACGGTAGGGACTAAGCAAGCTATAATGATTTATATCAGCTTTGACCGGAGCTGGGGAATTGTATTCAATTTTAGCTTCACAGGGTGGCAAGAGTGCTCGACTATGTAGGTGTTTTCTTTTCTTAGCTTTAAACTTTCAAGGCAAGGTTCTTGTTCAGCGTAAAACAATATTGCTTGTCCTCCTTCCCCTTTCCCTCCCCACCCCCCCAACCCCCAAAGAAAATATGACCTTGACACCTCTGGATTTGCAGATGAAGACAAAGTCTTCATGAAGACAACAAAGGTTCAGATTTTTCATTTGCCCATATTTCGGTAGGAATTTTCTCTTCACCAGGTGTTTGGGAATGTTAGCAAGCAGTAATTTGTCTGGGTAGCCTTCTGAAGCTTGGGACAGCTTACTGAAATGGACTAAAAGTATTTAAGAAAACACATATTGCTCTTCAGTGACTTCATATTTCTCATGGCGTGCAACTTAAAGACCAAAAATAACACTTTAGCAACACATAAGAACATCACATATAGCCTAATTTCAAACTGCAATGACAGTAAGCTACCTTGAAAGAAGCTAAAGTAATAATGCTTGTTATTTAAAGAAATGTAAAGAAAAGATTATTTTTCAGAGCTTTTTCTTGGAGTTCTTCACAGAGTCTTCTGAACACTTTGGGTCTACTTCTCCCATTGCTTTGGGGAGTACTGTTAAGAGTTGCCTAAAACAACCTAGAATTTCCTGAACTTAAAATGTGTTGCGAACTTGTGATGATGTCTGTCCACCAAAGTAGGACACGTGGTCTGTGAAAATATATGAGAAAGGAAAACAGCACAATTTTTAACTTTTTCCCTTGCTACATTCTTTTGCTGCCTTGTAGGCTATCAGTTTCATATGACGTTTCATCTTATTTTGCCAACGCTTGACCCGCACACGATCCTTTTTTTTTTTTCTTTTTCTTTTCTTTTTTTAAACAATGCTTTTCAAATAATTGAGTAACTTCCTTGTGCATTGCAAAGCACTGGATCAGGTATTTCTCTTGCATAGCTTTATTGCTGCAGCCAGTCATGAATATAGTCCAGAGCCACCTCCCCGCTCCAGAAGCAGGAAGGTAGTGGAAAGTGAGCCAGCTTGGCAGCCCCCTCCCCACACCGAGCTGAGCCACTGCAGACGGACGCTAACAGACTGGTGCCGTTCACGCTTTAGGGAAGAAGTATTAGGAATGCGCAGATGGATCTAACTGAAAATGGCTCATCGAAGACACGCACCGAATAGCATTAGAACAATTCAGTAACGAAAGAACAATTCAGTAACGAACCACCAATATCTTAATTTACAGTTATCGAGGCACTCAGTATCCAGACAGCTTAAAACCTACTGCAGATATCACAATATCCCTAAATAATGGTAAGCAACAGAGTACAGATAAACCACAAACACTCTTGCTCAATTCTTTTTTTAAATAACGCATTCTGAATCCTTATTCTGCCTTAAGACATGCAGGTATATACTAGATGATACACTTCATGGTACTTCACAGTCAGAAAAATCATTCATTTGCCTATGCGTTTTAAACATTTTCTCTTCCATTTTTTGTTCTGGGTACTTAATACCAAGAATCACATATCATGACTTACCATGAAAACCGTGCAATAACTTTCATTTATGACAAAGGGACCAACATAAGGCCCATCTGATCAACTCCTGGCTCCCCTCTTGCTGAACTCAGGCATCAAGCTGCTCATGGTTTTAGCAGATGTTTTTGCCTTTAATACCAAAGGGAAATTTGATGAATACTTTAACTTTATAAATGCAGTGAAAAGTGTTGCAAGCCTAGCTTTCATCTTTGCAAGTGAGATCATCTACCGCAACGGACTCACTTCAACAACGGGTTTGTAGCTCACTAAGGACAGTGCTAAAAATTCTCTGAGCTGATCACCCAAATATCAAATTATTGTTTTCTTATGTATTTGCTGGCATTTCTCTGCTACTATTAATCAAAGTATGCTTTATGAGGAAAAGTAATATCTTTTATTAGACTAGGTAACGTAGCTGGGGGCAAAAAATTGGACCAGATTTTAAGCACATTAGCGCTTCTTTGAGTCTGCAGGCCTTCAATACACGCAGGCCTGTTCAACTAAAGAGCTGATCTATTTTTCCAAGTCTAATGAAAGTCAAACTGATCAAATAAAAGGTCTCTACCTTACCCAGTGAATATTCCCTCAGTTATGTCCATAGACTATTATGGACACAACAATATTAATACCATCAGTACAAATATGCAAGCCTCCAAGTTGCATGTTAACTAGAATGTGCGTTAGTGAAATATAAAGTGGTATACTTTCAGAACAAGAGCTGGATCAAATCTGCTGTAAATTATACTTTTAAAATTTCTTGTTGCATTTTATAAAAATAAAATGCATTCTAAAAACCCTATTTTTTCCAGGATACCTCTTATAATTTTGGATTGTAGCAACTCCCTTAACTTTGCAAAAATCAGAATTTCAGTTATCTTTATTTTCTCTCACTTGCTGTGCAAGATTTTTATTATTGCTTTAAATTATGACTACGGTCACTACATTTTTTCATTTTTCACAAAAAAAAAAGAGAA